TAGTGAGAAGCAGGACGAACGATGTGTGTTGACAACTCACTTGACCCTGAATAATACCCCGACCATGTGCGCTGGTTGGTGATGTCATCTTTGCAGAATGGTCAGCCATTAGGCAGTCGGGATAGACATAAGCACGCATACCACGTAAAGTATCCAATCAAAGCAGTTAATATCATGGCTATAGTACCATAAGGCGTGGTCAATACTGCCATCCATGGTTTGACGTCGTGGTCCCTTGGTACTCGTCAGCTTGAGGGCTCTCGAGAGTGTCGTATTGCTGAAAAAATATTCAAGGTACTCGCCGTGAGCGCATCAAACGCTAGGCTTACAAATTCATCTCGGACATCAACGCTACTATGCTCTGGAAATTTATGTTTAGAAAACGATCGCGCAGCTGCTGAAGTATAGTACCTTTTGCATTGGTTGTTCAAATTTGTCGGGCATACCGGTTACTTTGACGGTCTTAAACGGAAAAGGGTATTTATAAAAGAGTGAAGCTTTAACCTTAGCACTGGGGGACATCATATTACCTTCATCCACCACATAACGACATATCCACCTTGCTCATTTGCCGCTAGACGTATTTCTATCGGTGACTCTTTCACTTCCTGAAAAGGGATTACATACGTGAATATTAGATATTCGAGATTATAAAAACGGTACTTGAGCGAATTGTTGAAGATAGCCACGCGCTTTGGCATCAAGTTTAGGGTCAAGGGCTAGTCTGTCTAGCATGAGGCCTTCGTGCAGTGATTTCTCGGGGATGGGCACATTATCAGGAAAGGGCACTTGATGGGAAAGCTGTTTAGGTTCAAGTATTTGAAACGAGCAGACCATTATGAAAATCAGTTTCGAAGATTGCAATGCTTTGACAACACGCGTCGCGTAACTTCGGCCTTGGCGCGAAATTTCGACGGTGTAGGTGATAGGTTCTGAGTAAGATGTGCGTTGAAGAAAATAGCACTATAGGACAGCATTGGCTTTAGCGTTGTTCGAACATCATTTGGGAGATCGAGAACGTACATGGAAAGACTAGTGCGAGAAATGAGTTCGCATTTAAAGTAAGCTGAAGCTTACATGTATTGCGTAAGAAGCATCGACCGTCTTGTTGGCAGCTGCGACTGCCTGCCCCATTATTTGTCCACCAAAAACGCCATCAACTCCATTTCAGAGCGGCTTGTTTTTGAAGAGCGTTGCGTCCAGTTTATCTACGTCGAGTATGGTAGGGAAAGCTTCGCGAACATGTTTGGAAGCCATCGTACGAAAAATGGTACCAATGAAGGCGATTTCTGAGACCATTCAGTAAATACGGGAGAGGGTGCTACTTCCGACTATGCCCGGGCATCACTAACCGTGAAAATGATTTATATGGGCTGAGTCAGCGACGGCATGTCATCATCAGCTGTCGCATGTACACGTTACTCATGTGTTTCCACTGCTAATATAGAGGCCTGCTCTCGAAACTTGTTATTATACTACTTTGAAAGTTTTGAATTTTTATTTTATTTTACATAATAGAATCGATATATACTAATGTTACATGAATCTTCACCACTCTCGTTGCTTCACGGAGCAGAAGAAGTGGTGTGGAAGAATAAACAGTGCTTCTGAAAGCTCGTACGGTTTCTTCGAATTTTGCACCTGTATGTCGTAATGGTACACAATCATCGAAAGCAGCTTGGACATCTCCATGAGCGCGAGACTTTTCCCTAGACACACCCGCGAGCCCTGCCCAAACTTAATGAAAAGAAAAAAGCGTGCCTATAATCACTAACGTGTGGGTGAGGAAACTGTAGGAGTGGGTGCGTACCACAAGGCTACAATTCTCAAGCGTGTTCCGATCCCCTTCAAGCCACCGTTCAGGGCGCCATTCTGCGGCATCCTTGCCGTATGCGCGGGGGTCGAGGTGAGTATCATATGGTGGCATTCCTATGAGCGTCCCAGCAGGGTAGAAACGCTCCCCGATAACCCGACCGCCGGCCGGGACTACGCGTTGGAGCGTGATTCCAGCAGCCGGATGGAGTCGCATTGCTTCCCTAAAGCAGATATGAGCTATGCTGTACAATTGAATAAACCATCGCGGTGACCAACTTCATGCATGCCCATGTAAACTCAAGCCGGCAGGCCTGGGAATAGGTGATCGGGAATGTAAGATTTCCAGCCTTGATCGCATCATCCATCTCTTTTCGTATGCGTTGGAGCGTCGGGGGGTGAGTATATACGTACCGCAAAAACGCCGTCATGGAGGTGCTGGTTGAGTCCGCACCAGCAATACTGGAGGCATGTCAGGAATACTATACGCAAACGGGACAGCGGAACGACCCACTTAATAGTAATGCAGTTCTAGCAGTTGAAGTGAGGTTCAGTCTCTATACGCAAACGGGATTAAACTAAATTTCACGCTTATGAGGGCTCCAGTATCCAAAGGCATGGACGTAGCGGGATCCGTCGACTCCATGAATCGATATAGCATGTCCTTTCCTTCCTCGTACGCTATAGGATCTTCATCACGCAGCCTTTGTCTTTCCTTCACGGGTCTTGATGCATACTCGCGGAATAACCCTGGTCCGCAGTCTCCCATGAGCTTCACAACGAACAATCCAAGGGGTTTAATTGGCCACATCCAACTAAGGCTCGTGAGGCTACCCATGATGGTCAGAATCCGCGTTGCCTCAGTCATCGTCCTTATCGTCCCATCATTGTCCTCACCAGATTCCAAAAAACCTAACATTACATTAATCACGCATCACCTCTAACCCACGATACGCACCTACGGGGCTGCCAAATGCAATGCTACTGACACCATCATATGCGTACACTGCAGGCTAACATGAGCTGGTCTAAATACATAAATATTACTTTCAATGACTCACTTTGGATAAGCTTGCTGAGATCAATGGTCCTTTCTTTGTCTGCTGCCTTGTCCAAAAGACCAAAGAGCAGGTGTGTGCATCTATCGAGATATCTCTCGAGAGAAGTAAGGTAGTTCATCGAATATGCATTTGCGATGCGCTGACGGCCACGACGATGGCTGGCCACGTCGCGGTCGCTGAAATGCGTTTTGCCAGTCATGCGGAAGGCGTTATAGAAGGGACCTTTCAAGTATTCGGACTTGTGGCCATAGAGTTTCATGACGTCGTCCGGAGAAACGAGACTGACCTGGAAAGGTGAATTGTATTTTAAGTCTCCGAGCACTTTCGAGAACAAAGCAGGTACCTCATTGGGTCCAATTCGAACAGTGTTTCCGTATTTGACATGCAAAGCATGCAGCGAAGAGGCGTAGTGTCCTCGAAATGTCGCCTGGGCTTTCCAAAGGTCTGAGATGACTGCTATCTTCGGCCCTGGGACCTCAGAGAGAGGATGGAGCCAAAGCAGATAGGCCACTCGTAGTAGGAAGCATGCAATGACAGTAGTAATCGGGTGAGATAGTAAGGCTACAGTGGGCGTTTCAAGGATATGCCACAATCCGTCGTCCATGAGGGGGGTCATGGTGAAAGTACTCAAGTCGTTGGGCCTGGTGATACTTATACAGAGGGTGGGTATCAATGGCCGCCGCGTAATGTACAGTAAGCATGCGTTGTTGCCCTTCAGCGCATCAGCCAAAGCACCAGTGCTTCATCCACATCTAGCAGGGCATTGCATCAGGGAAAACCGCGAACGGGATAGCCCCAATGTTAGATGGCCCCGGATGGCACTCCGTAAACTCCGTTTGTCCTTCGGGGATTCAGAAGCTCTGCCGCACGTACCGGCACAAATTTGCGGCGCTGCGTACTGGCACAATCTCGCATGTGAATGTGAGCACAGTGGATCATCGGGCCTAGCTTGCGGGCCGACCTGGTTCCAATATGCTTGACGCAGCGTGGTCAGCGGTGTCACACGGGATGCATCCCGCGGCCCACATCAGTGGAATTGTTGATTTAGATATCCAAGAAAAACTATTAATAACCAGAAGAATCAAACACACAACCTTCACAGAAACAATAGCCTCTACACCACTACATACTCCACATTGACCACAAGGCATAGGGGATATCACAGTGGGTGGTTTCAATGTGTCATCATGGTGAATCCACAGAAAAATGCAAAACTGTTTTGTACTCCTGTCATGCATGGTTTCAAGGCAGTTTAGACCATTAGTTTAGTGTTGGATTCACTTCAGTTTAGTTCAGTTCAGAGCAAGTTCACTGATTTGGCCGCTAGTCAGTTTGCAGTCCAGTTCTCATGGTTCAGTTCACAAGCCAGTTCAAAACTGGCTCTGAACTGGTTCAATGGGGGTTCAAATTACAAATAGTCATGAAGCAGATAGATAAACTATATAATGCCAAGGTCTACATCAGTGAATGCTAACTTAGCAAACTGGTAAGTGTTATCCTACCAGTCCTTTTCATTGATGCACCACATACATTCCTCAGCCCACTGCTTCCATTCTTTCCCAGTCATATGTTTTGCCTGATGCTTCCTGTGGTGTAAGACTTGTCTTACTTGCTATCATGCTTGCAGACTGAGCCAATATTGTTATTGGTGTCTAACTGTGCATGTGGTTACAAGTAATGATTATGTAAGATTATTATCCAATCTATTGTGGACAACCATATAGTTGTCCACAAGGTATCTACAAGTGCCCCTAGTGGGCAGCTCAAATACAACAGCCCACAAGCCACCCGTGTGGCTTGTACTATCTGAGGAGTAGCATATATGTTATGCTGAGTATGTATATTCTTACATTCTCCTCCATAACAAGTGATAACCACCTAGGAGTCCTACTTTGATAGCCAGTGTTACCACAACTAGGCTAGCCTGGTTGTGACTAGTAGTCACATTTTTTGGCAGGGAAGCAACTACAGTCATATAGTCTCTTGTCTAGTCACATCATAGTTGTGACTTTTGTAGTCATGACTTGACCAGACTATGACCACTAGTCAACTTGTAGTCAAATCATGCTTGTAGTCAAATTATGGTAACACTATTGATAGCAGTTAACACTTCAAACATTTAAGCAAGACAATGTAGCAAAGTTGGTTAATGCGTGTGATTAGAAATCACATCCTCTCTGAGGGCGTAGGTTCAAATCCTGCCATTGTCGATGATTTTTGATGTCACTCGTCATAATCTAACTGAACATTTTAGTTGCTTAAATTTGAGGTCACATGACATGACACCTGGGTTACCCAGTATGACTAACATACTTACAGTGCTTTCGAGTATGTAAGGTGGAGCTTGAATTTGCTTCACGACATGTGCTGCAGAAAGAATGAGCTGTAGCTTGTGAACTGTTGGCGAATAAGACTTGAAAATTTGTATATACCATGTACTATAAATTATCTACCATACCATATATAAATCTTCTTTTATTACACATTATTTATTTTTCATAGAATCCAGCCTGTAGGTGCCATTGCACTCCCAAATGGCTTCCCCTTGGGCTGAAACTCTCTCAGATTAAACATATATATAGATACATGTTATATAGAAATAATAGGGATTTATAATGCACCGGTTCTGGAGGGGAGAGCCTCTGCATATACTTAGGGCTCACCTGGGTTCCCAGCCTTGTACAAGACATAATTTCATGGTGTAATTATTGGTATACATTACAACATATGTAAAAATTACTGTATATTTATTTAAGCCACAATAGAGCTCTGTGTGTGGCATTCTGAGGCTGAGGATGTGTTTCTGTCCCTGTGACTAATGTGTGACAATGGTGACATCTGCCGTCAACACTGCTTCTACTCACATCCACTTCCAAAGATGGCAAAAAAAGGCCACAAAATCTCAAGCACCAGATAATCCCCTCCTTGCCAATCCACTGCCATCGAAGCCAAAATCACGCCAGTGTGACATCCCTGACACATCACAAATTATTGAGGGCCCATGCATTCGTAATCCTTTAGCTCACTCAGTCTCACAAGAATTGTCTACAGTCACTGCTACCCAGCCTAGTAAAAAGAAAACAATAGCAAAAACCGGGCATGTGAGCAGACCTCCCTTATATTGATAGATCACTGTATCTGTGACTGAAAAGAAATTCAAGGCTTCCACCCACAAGCCAGTCGGCACCACGAAACCCTGTTCAAAGAGCGGTACCCAGTCCAATTTGGAGTTTAGGCCTGTGCTGGCTGCAGTTGACTTTATGGCACAAACTGGCAACCATGTCCAGTTGAGTATGATCCAGGAGGTGGATGATGAGGATGAATACCTCAATGGGGATACACAGGCAGATGATGGTGACCTAGACTATGTGGAGCAAGAGGAAGACAACGGTAACTGTGATGAATCATTTGAGATTGATGGCATCACCACAGATGAGGAGTCAGAGGTTATTGACGGTGCTGAGAGTGTTGGTGTAGTAGCCAAACCAGAATTGGTCAAACATGCAAAGTCTGGACCAGTGAAGAGAGGCAAGGTAAAGAAGGGCTGCAATATACCTGAATGTAAGATTGTTCACTCTTGCTCTTGCTCTGAGGTTCGCAACGTGTACTAACATATGTATCTAACTTAACAGTAATTAAATTTATGGTTCCATACCGCAACCAGTTTGGGCAGACCCTTATATGCAACCAGAATGTTGATCCCAATAGCTTGGTGAGAAACGTCAAAGCCGCTATTGAATCAATCTTGGGCATTGACATACTCCCTGAAAAAGACCATGGTGAACTCGTTGCTCATTTTTACAAGGATCCCATGAAGCGGTGCTTTGCCTTAGTAACTGAAGAAAATTGGGAAGAAATCAAGGTTGAATGGGCTATTCATGCTGCGAAGAAGGGTAAGGACGTGGGCATAGAGATCATTGTCCCCAGAAAGGTATGATCTTTTCTTTTTTATCACTTCATGGTCATTTTATATACTAACTATTCAACAGTACTTTGAACATTTGGAGGAGGTGGTGAAGGCAAACAGCATTCCAGCCCCTAATGCCAGAACTAAGACCAAGGTGAAGGATGTAAATCCGTTTCTCCTGGCAAAGGCTGACACAGATACAGCTCACCTGCCTGACAGTCAAGATCTTGTTCCTGAGAAAACAACTGAATACCGTAGGCAGAAAAGTAAACTAATTGAAGCCTGGCCATGCAAGGAGCATCCCAATGTCATTTGCATGCTACGCGCTTTGAACGGCCATCATAAGGTTCTCAACTTCGAAGGAGAGCTTGCATGGGTTCTTGCATTGGTATGTTTTCTGCATTGCTCTTTTATTAGCCACTGACTGTGTATTTTAGCTGAATGAAACTGAAGGCGTGGATCTTGAGCATCCCCCTGACATAGAATACTTCAAATTTTTCTATCACACGCAGGGTCTTTCGAACACCCCTCTTTGCTGAGGGGGAGCAAGGTTTCATAGTGAGCCCCCAGTGGGAGTGCCACAGGTCCTTGCACCACCAATCAATATCAACTTACCTCCCAAAGCTTTCCAATTCACTCATCTCTTCAATTCCTGGCCTCATCATGGTAAACGCCCCCTCGCATCCTCATCTTCATTTGGCAGCAGGGAGTTGAGCCCTAACATTCAGCACAGATTGGAGCCACATGCTGATGTTCCTGTTCCCACTATTGAGGAATGGCTCTGGGACTTGACCTACACAAGGTGGAATATTTTGCACAAAAGGTTTGAGAACAAAGGTTCACTTCAGGTGCTGATTTCCAGCATTGCACGGATCACCTATGACAATCTGAAGAGTGGATACAATCTCAAGATGGTAGATCTATTGTTTTTGGTTGAACAACTGGAAATTGTGGGGGAAAAATATGGTTTTGTGGTGAACATTCACAGGGGTCAGCCAAAGAAGACGAAGAGATGCAGACATGAATGAGTAGACAGTTTTAGCTAGATTTTTCATTCGAAACATCAAATCAAATGTTATCATTGCTAATACTCAAAATCATGCTGAGCATTTCTTTTTCACATGAGTAGCCTAATTTGGATCAAATATAAAAACACCATGTACAACATAATAAGTAACATTGGCACTACATATTGCGGTAACACAGCAAGGGTACACAATTGTAAAGGCACCCTACATGATTTACAAATAACTGGAATGAGACATCCACCCTTGAGAAAGTTCTGGGGTAATGGATGAAAGTTCAGTATGGAGAAATAAGAGAATCAATGCACTGTTTTTTGAATCAACAGCATAGCAGAAGGTGGATTCATGGCAATGAAGATAGGCCTTTAGGTACAAAAATGATCCCTCGATAGGGTTTAGATCTGGCGAGTATGGAGGCAAGTAATACAAGCGAACACCACTGAAGCAGAGATTGGCCAGGATATGAATGAAAAAAAAAGAGAACTTACCGCTCTGCACATATTGCAGCTATTTCAGGTCCAAGGTGGATTCCGCAGTTATCCATGACAAGGACACTGTGGGGATCTGGCCAAGGGTTCATGTACGACATGAGGTTTTTGATGAAACGTTGGTATGACTCTCCGTCATAGGCACCTTCACGGACCGCTGAATAAATAATGCCCTTGCTACATAGGGCCAGCAGAAGAGAGTAGCTGTCAACAGAAAAATCAGTACAAAGTCATTGGAAAGTCATACATTGATGTACCCAGTTCCCTGCACAAATCTTGCTTTCATTGACGCCTTTTTTCCCTTTGTGGCCCACCCATTGATTTGGTACGTTGTTCTGCAGTCAAGACGACTCTCATCAACAAAAACAATGTGGTTGGGACTCTCATGGCCAATACGGAACCGATAGAGGTCCCGCAAACATTTGTTGCGTTCTGCAGCAACTTTAGATAGCTATGGTCTTGCTTGATAAGCAGAAACACACTGAATTGTTTGATAGCGCACCCTTTTCCGTGTGAGTCCAAGTTCTGTGAGTGTATCCCATATGGTGCTAAGTCCAACAACAATCCCATGTGAGCACTGAAGAATACTCTGTATCTCATCAAGATACATGTCTGGAAAATGTGCCATTAATTGGATAAGAAACTATATGGCTCCAATCAGTGTGGCTGTCCTACAATGTGAAGATACAAACAGATATGTGCCTTCATTTTATCTTGGGTCATGATTTTCTTCCTTTTTCCCTTTCTTCCAGGATCCTGAGGTAGAACTTCACCAGTACTGCGCCACAAGTGGAGGATACATTCGACGACACATTGTGACCTATTGAGATCATGTGCAATATCTGCAACTTTCTTCTCCAGGGTGAAGCGCTGGTAAATGCCTCATTTTCGCAAATCTTCTGAGTATGACTGTCATTATCATAGGGGGTCTGGAAGAAAGCGAGCCATCTCAAACGATGGAGTCTAGTAGCGTGGAACCTCCGGCGAGTGTCACATGATGATCACGCATTGGTCACAGTGAGCCTTAGAATGCCACGCACAGAGCTCTGTCATGGCTTAAATGAATATATAGTAATTTTTACATATATTATAATGTATACCAATAATTACACCATGAAATTATGTCTTGTACAAGGCTGGGAACCTGGGTGAGCCCTGAGTATATGCAGAGGCTCTCCCCTCCAGAACTGGTGCATTATAATCCCTATTATTTCTATATAATATGTATCTATATATATGTTTAATCTGAGAGAGTTTCAGCCCAAGGGGAAGCCATTTGGGAGTGCAGTGGCACCTACAGGCTGGATTCTATGAAAAATAAATAATGTGTAATAAAAGAATATTTATATATGGTATGGTAGATAATTTATAGTACATGGTATATACAAATTTTCAAGTCTTATTCGCCAACAGTTCACGAGCTACAGCTCATTCTTTCTGCAGCGCATGTCATGGAAGCAAATTAAAGCTCCGCCTTATGTACTCGAAAGCACTGTAAACAGGAGTGGCAACATACAAATTTTTTGGTGAACAGATGCGCCAGGGCTTGCTATGCAGTGTCCTTGCCAAACACACCCATGATATCATTGCCTACATCACAATGGCAACTATACATGGTTGATTTTTCTGCACCCAGTCACTGGGAAATCCAAGAAGTTTTGCAAGTTGTACTACTTACTGAACCCTAAGGTGAGTCCAATGTGGTGGAAGACACTTCCGAGTCCAGTGGCAGACATTGACTCATGGATCACTAGGCTGTGACCATTAGGGTGGACTGCAAGAAATATGGG